ATCGCAGGGCCAACTATATTCGCTAGGCACACCGGACGAGGAGCGAGTTTCTGAAACCTACTGCATCGGGCCCATTGCCGATTACATGTTTTGGTATGGAGAACATGCGAAGATTGACTTGGACAAGGGACCATGTATGCTCTCTCCTAAAACAAAGTGACGTATAATTCCAAGCTGATTATTCTCATAGGGAGTGACCCAAGGCAATATCTTCTTGCAATCGCCAACAGAGAAATCAAGTGGACCGAGAAGTTTGGGAAGCCGCTTGAGTGCGACTTCCCACATAACACCGTTTTTCCGGGCGTCAACCCCCACCGAGATTTTTGGGACTCCTTACGAAGTACCTAGCAATTGCTCCTTATCTTCCCCCGAAAGATCCCCGAGATATTTTGAATCGACCTACCCTTGGCCATTCTGGTGTGTATACAGACTTTTAGCCTTGGTATCGATAAAGCTAACTGCAACAGATCTTACTCCCAGCAACGTCTTTGTATGTCCAGCCAGTTTAATTTCACTTGTATTATCCATTGGCAACATACAGTTGTCACCCCATTGCTCCTTGGTGCTGGCTATCCGAGGCTATTTGAGAACCCTTCCCCTGAGCCCCCAACAGCCTTGGTCCCACCAAAATATCCGGACGGCTATGATACAATAAGCCCCAATGACAAGGCTCAAGTCGACGAGCTAATCCGTCGGCAAAGTCTTTTTATCTATACCGAGTCTTCAATGGGGGACTAAACAAAGTGCATCTTAAAGCTCTACAAGATCCCTTGATTCTATCACATGAGAATCTAGAGGATCTTGCGGGCCGCCAATAGTCGGGCAATCTCATGACGTTACGAGGAGCTTTAATGTGTATGCGTGACATATGGTCCCACGCCCCGGGGAAGGATGAGAATTCTGAATGTCCTATTGAATTTTCAGAGTAGAATATTGGAGACCAAGCTGAGGATGAGCCAATGTGGGATAACTTGAACATGCTTGTTGACCACTGCCGTGATGAACTAGGCGGGATTTCAGAGGAAGGCTGGATCCGGACTGAGCAATACGACTATGCCACCAAACGGAATCAGTCCCTCAAAGCAGAATTTTCCGAAGGTGGCAGTGCAGACGAGCTTGACAAAATCAAGCGAGGCTGGCCTTTTCAGGATCATAACGAGTTATTTTGATAGATACATCTTAACCATCGCCGACTGAACCGGAAGCAACGGCTTTTGAAGAGGCAATGGCACAAGCCTTTGAGAATTCTTCCTCAGCTTCGTAAGTACAATTTGCTCTTTTATTCCTTTGAAACAACAAGTAACATTTGGACAATCTCGCTTCTTGATTCTAGTTACTCCAGTAATCACTCTTGGTCTCCTCCCTCCACCGCAGACGATGCTTGTCAAAAGGGGGATATATATCCTGCGATAAGTCAACTTGCTACATACATAAGATTTTGCGACACCAATAATATTGGATATAAATCTCACTCCCAGCACATCTCTACACGTTGCCTACGAAATACGCAAGGAATCTCAAGCAAAGCCGGTGCTGATCACCCAGCTCACATCGCTGTTGAAAGAAGTGGCGGAGTCGAACGTGTGGACACCGCCGTTGCTCGCAATGTAGAGCACGTTCTCGTAGTGGCGGAAGTAGCGGGTGGGATAGCTCCATGATCGAATTGAGCTCGTCTCACCATTAAGGCCGGTCTGCGGGCAGAACGTGGCGTCTTCGTGGAGTATCTTCGTGCCATCGTTGGCGGCAAGCACGAGCTCGAAAGCAGAGTGCCGGATGAAGCTCCCCGGTGTATCGACGGACTCGAACGAGAAGCAAGCGCTATTGGCAAGACCGGCGCGAACTGTCCAGCTAGCCTGCTTCTTAAGGGCAGTTGTGCTAGACGAGGAGACAACCTGAGTATTGATGGTCGTGCCGGTGTGTGCGATGTAGCGTGTCGTGTAGCCGGACGTGGTGGCTCGCAGCGAGATCGAGGAACCGACAGTGAGCGCGCTCCCGCTTGTCAGCGGTGCGGTAGCATATTTGGCCGCTACGACATTAGCCTGTACCGAGTTCTCGGTGGCATCGGTCGGGTAGCCGGAGGTCATGACGCCCTCGTAGAACGTGCCCTGGGCGCCATTGCTGTTGTCGCCGCCGATGCCAAGGATGATGGCACCCTCTTTGCTCATCGGGTTGTACCCTGACACGCTGGGACGCGCGCCACTGTAGTATGTTGATAGGGAACCGGATGCAGCATTGCCGCCGCGGATGGCCCACTTGTTTGGCCCTCCCTTGACAACCGCATTGACAAAGCGGTGGGATAAGGACGGGTCGCCAGCGTTGTTTTTTGGGCTTGAGCCAGAGAACAGGCCGTTCTCAAGGTCAGCCATGATCCAAGGACCACTTCCAGCGCCGGAGCCCCAGGCGGTGTTGTCACCATAGTAGATGGCCTCCATGTGGCCGTTGCCCGTATCGGTACTGCTGATCTCGGCGTTGCCGTAGTCGAAGCAGCAGGCACCGTTGTAGTGGGTTCCATCAAGCACTGCGTACATGCCCTCCGCTTCGTCTCCTGTAGCCGTGCCGCTGGCGGCGTTGTTGCTGTAGCCCGTGCCAGGAGACATGAACACGCCGTAGGCCTTCTGGCCGTTTAGCGTGACCGGTGCACCAATCGCACTGGCCAGGTTATCGTAGCCATTAGCTTCAGGGCCTTTGAAGCCGCCGGGCGGAGCCTGTTTGAGATGATTACCGCGGCCAGATTGGTCATAAATAGTCGTGATCAAGCAGGTCGTGCTTGAACAGAATTTGTCCTGGGCAGCGGCATTCGCCACCCCACCGGCTGAAAGCGGCGAGATGTCGGTCGTGGTACCATCGGAGCCACGTTTGACCTGGTAGAGTGCGCCGGTGTAGGCGCTGTACAAGGCGCGAGTGGTGCTGTGCGCGGCGATGCAGGGCGTGTTACCGGAGGCGTAGATATCACAGGGCCCAGCTTCAACAAGAGTGCCAGTGGCAGCAAGGCCTAGAACCAGTGCGCAGAAGCGTTCGAAGCTTCGCTGGGAGAACATATTTGATCACCTTTGGGACAGGTCAGGCTTTATCGCTGTTTAAACCAAGAACGAGATGGTTTAATGGGCACTGAAGAGAAAAAGGTAGGGCCTTCTGCCGTGGAGTGTCCTTCATATTTATATTATTCAGGTCATCCGCCAAGAAGCCCTTTTCTAGTTGAGGATAGTAGCAAGAGTTACTAAAGTGGAGGTAATTCTCCTCCAATCTAGTAAATACCCATTTTTTACTTGATAGTTGGTACTCTCCACAACATCGGTTAATACAGATTTAAGCGACTCTACTCATATGACTAGCAAGAAGTAAATTGACGGAATTTCTGGTCTGTGTCTTGGTGAGACGGAAGGTTTTGTTCCGTCCCTAATGCTAGCAAGAAGCCTTCAGCAATTCACGAGAGAGAGCTCCGATTGATGAGGATAGGTTGTCGTGAATGCACCCCACATCATGGTAGCGTTAAGCTTGTGCCACCGGGATTTTCCCCTTTTATTCCCCCCAGGGCGCAATTACGCGATGGAACCCAAGTAAACAAAAGGCTCATGATTGGGCTGGAAGCAGACAAGCCTAGCCAACGTAGGATCATGGCGTCCTAGAAATCTGAAGTTCGGTTGCGGGGGCTTTTCCCTGATGATGCGGGGCCCCGAGGGGTATACCAATTAAGCATTTTTGCCGAGGATACTTGGCCGTGGCTCAGAGGAGCTTAGACTTGACGATCGTTGGAATCTAATCATATGATGTTCTATACACACTTCTTGTTAACAATTCCAATCCAACGTACGCTATTATTAGGGGTACAGATATCCCCTTCGCGCCTTAGCCACTTTGAACTACACGGCATTGAGCATTGTATAGCCGTTAGTGCGCCATATCGCATTTTTCCGTATTAATTTTGACCTTCACTCTGCTAATTTACTATTACTTCCTTCGTACAAATTCTAGCAATTTCTACCATATCTTAATTTATAAAGGTTATATAGAAGTACATTTCTGCAAATTGAGCCTTTTGGCCCTTTTCTCCTATCTGCCTAATTGCCTAATAAACTAAGAAGGGGGAGAAAATGTCCTATGAAACTACCTAGATATCTAAAAAGACCACTGTAAAGACATAAAAAGACTATCGGAGAAGACTGTCTAAGAAGAACCACCAGACTACGGCTGTATAAGCGGCCGACTATTCTTGTCTATAATATCTCAATTTCTACCATATCAACTTCTTATAGTGTCATTTTTTACACTATTAATTTCTATCAATTTCCATAGTCAATAAAATACTCATATACTAATTTTATGAAATGTACTGCTGGCAGAATACGATATGGCACACTGGCGGCTATACACTGCCATAAATATGCAGGTCTAATGCCGATCGTTTGTGACTTAAGCCGGATTTTATCCCTAGTTAGGGAAAATGTGCGTTCCTGGGACTGTATGGTGAAGTACCTTGGTTGAGGAAACAAAAAACTGTTGTCTCGGAACTTCCGCCAGAAGATCCTTGTAAGCAATTCCTTCCGCTTATCCGCTCGAAATACTTTTCCCGGTTGCAGAACTAGCCCGATAAATCTCCGGTGGGGAGCGCGGTTTCTTTCTCCAGGACCCAACGCTGCAGAAGTGTTGTGCTCGACAGGGCAGCGTGGTCTCGGGAGTTTCTTGAAAGTGCGGGGGCTTATCACCGTGCGCTCTCTTAGAAAGCCAGGGCGATGTCGGGAAGACAGTGAAGAAATGTTGCTAGAGATGCTCTGGGCAATTAAGGGAGGATCGTGGTATAGACCGATGATAACACTTATAGAATCTAATAAAGACTGTAGGCTATTCCTAGTCGGCAACAGAATTTACTCGGTCTTCGTCTAGTTAATTGTAACTATACCTTTGTATTAATAAATGACAGAAATCTGTCGTTCGACAAGAACCACCATGTACCATAAAATAAAACATAATATTATGTATCTTTGAGAGGAATGTAGATTCTGCTAATAACTTTCCTCGGGAGCGGTCGTGTTATCGGGGGTCTTAGATCCTAAGAAGGACATAACAAGTACAGCGAGGATAATATATAGAACACCTTCCAGAATTAGCGGCGCGAGACAGGGGGCATATTGAAAGACTTACTCCATGTCCAACTCATATAGTCGTAGCCAACCATTTCCTTCAGATAACCACCAATGATCGGCCCAATTGTCATTCCAAGAGAAGCGGCAACCTCCATCATAGAAAACACACGAGACATGCCACCAGTAGGTCCAAAGATGCCCGAGTTCTTCTCTTGATGAGATTTAACAGCAACTGCAATAGCTTATTAATATATGTACAGTTATCATAAAGAAGTATCACTTACCAGTCAATTCGGTGGGTCCTATGCCCGTCATGAAAGGTCTCGTTGCACCAATAGCCATGATAGAGGCTATATAAATTGCTCCTCCCCACTTTCCCGCACTAGCCCAGGAAACACGATCGCTTCCGGCAATACCTAGCAGACCCTGTAGTACTGCCTGAAGTATTAAAGCGACCACGGCAGGTGGCCGTACCCCGATACGGTCACGGACCCAGCCAGCGAGGGGCCCGATCAGGAGACCAGGGGCAATCAGACAGGAGAATAAAAACCCAGTCTTGCCTGGGCCCCATCCGAATGTCTCCTGCACGTGCAGAGGGAGCGTCGCGTGAAAACTCGTGCCCACAGTTGTGCCCGAGATGATCACAAGTAGAACCGTTAGGACACGAGAATCGCATAGCATAACTCGCCAAAAGTCGAACGCGGAGTGTGAATTTTGAGAATCTTGGGATGGGGAAAGCAGATTTGTCGTCTCTGAAGCTTCCAAGGCCTCTTCTTCATCTGCCTTATGTTGAGAGGATGCCGTAGGTTGTGTAGAGGAATCTTTCGGCGGGCTCTCAATCATTATTAAACGTCCATAAGGTCGACGGTCAAGATCAAGAGTGGTGTCAACCATGTGAACCAGTATCCTGTAGCCTCTAAGAGCAACCCGGACGCAGCAGGTCCGCCGATCATCCCCAAGTTAACAAATGACATCGTCAAGCCCATCACCGCACCAATATTATCTTGGCTCACAGTATCTGCGATAGTTGCGAAGCCGACAATCCATACCGCGGAGGCTGCAACTCCCTGCAACACACGTCCTATAAATAATATAGTGACCGAGGGGGCACCAGAGATCATCCCGGTGCCTATAATACAGGCGAGGAGAGACAGCAGTAATGGGGTCTTGCGATTCGGGCTCTTATCGGCAAAATGGCCGATGACCGGGCCCGCAATGACGGAGACAGCGCCATGAAGGGCGAGGACAGCAGAGGTAAACCTTTGGGTCTGAGAGGGATCGATATGTAGGCGATTCTGAAACATGAAGCTTAGGATGGGAACAAGGAACCCATAAAGGAAGGTCTCTAGATGGTATTAGTGAGGAATTTTGGATGCTAATGAGGACGGGCGAACCAGCAAACAAGGCGATCGTGATAGTTGAGATGATGAACCATTTTGAAGAGCGCCATTTGTAACCTATGGGTGTAGGTTCTGGATGGAAGTCGCCCATATCGATCTAAATTGGCTCAATGTAAGAGCGCAAGAAGCTTGAAACTGGATGGAGTCTTCAAGCGATGCTGGTTTTCATTATGATGCACTTGAAAAGTCTTCAGGGGGATCGGCCTTTGCGTGGACTTCGATTTAGAATTTCGATATGTATTCTCCGTAAGCATCGTATAGTTAGTACCCGTATGCGAGTCTGGCCAGAATAATTCATGTGGAGGCTTGTAAGGTTCAGCTGAGAAAGAGAAAAAAGAAATGGACCTGGCTTGCATTCAATACAATAGCGTATTAGCGTATTACTGGTGTACTTGAGAAAGGTGGATAGTCCCCGGAGCTGTCAAGATCACTGAAGAGAATGACAGAGCGTGGGGGATTGTGATTCGATGATTTGTCCATTTCAGTCCTGCATTAGTGCCAAATCTCGGATTTGATCGGCGAACAGGTTCATGCAACATACAACATACAGTACCGCCAAAGTTTCAACACCCCCTTAGGTGGGGCCCCTTCACCGCCCACAATGCCCGTTCTCCAGCGCGCTACAGCCTAGAAACTTATGGAGGTTTTAGACCGGCAGAAAATTATGTAATCAGGAGGAGTGGAGTAAGGCGTGTCGAAACTTTGGAGGTGTCACTGTATAGACCTGTTCGGACAGCCCGAAAGAATTGAGTTTGAGCATAAATGGGTCCGATCGGCAGTAGACTCCACCTCAAAACCCGAGCCACGCAGCGCCATGCGACAAAAGAGCACCGAACACCTCCGGGGACCTCTTTTTTTGCTATGGAACTTGCTCGACCAAAACCAAAGGCACAACATGGGAATTAATCCCAAAGCCGAGAAGGACCAAGTTGATCGTAAATCAGCTTGGACCTCTTATGTATTTATAGTTTCATGTTCCTACTAAATCAAGCACAACCAACCTTTAATTTTTGAATTAGAACAAAAAGTAATGTATTATTGTATTGGCCCGCAGAAACAAAAAAAAAGTCTCCATACAGCTTTTGTAGCAATATCATCTCCCATCCCGACAAAGGCTGCCAAGGGGTAGCTCATGATGTAGCCAGACGTTTGGCTCCAAGTAGACACAACGTTGCTCACCAACGTAATACCGCAAGGGGACGAGTCCCTTCGAAAAAACAACTTCTATATACATTTTGCCCGAGCTGGCTTCTTGTTTGAAAGGGGTATCCTTGCGCCCAATCAGATGGCTAAAATCGACACCAGTCCACTCCTGCCATTGTTGCACACTGCCCTCCACGTACATACTCCGTGGAGCTATTTTGATCACCCTGGCTCCTAGTCGAATATGTTTCCGCAGCCACGGATCAAAAGGCAAGTTCGGGTCCGTCTTCCTCGGTGTCTTGAAAATTCCCTGATTCGGGACTCCCGTCGCTGGCCATGATATATAGTCCGCCATTTTTGTCTTGGGGAAATCGGGTTTTCTCGTTGGTCGAAGAGGTACCACCAGCGCGTCGTAACCTTGGTCGATTGCTGTCTGTTTCATAGCCATGATCAATATATCCGCCAGCCCCTGAGAGCGGTATTCTGGAGACACGGTGATGGAAATAGCGGATAGGGCATTGGGTGGCTCTGTTCTCGTCCTGGCGGGATCGGAGAAAGGTCTTAGTCTATTCGGACCTGGGACAATGCCTTCCCGTGCGAGCTGCTGCTCAACGGCCCGAGAGAGGATCCCATCATAGCCTTCGTCTGGGAGAGTATGCAAGACTTCGGGATGCTCACGGAGCCCCTTTTTGCCCCCAATTCGGTCCAGATCAGGCCAGTAAAAGGGAACGGAACGTCCACAAGCAATGATATGCTCCACCCCGTAGATGTCGACATTAACAATGGCGTACTGCATAGGAGAAAAGGCTTCGAATTTGTCCAGTTGGATACAGTAATGTTGGAAATATTTGTCTTGGTCGATAAACATCGGCCAGGCGGCGTTCAATGGATGCGTGGGACATTTGAGGGTTTCCCAGAGATCGGGCCTGCTTTGCGCAGTATGGAGGCGTAAGTTTTCCATCATCCTCTGGCCTCGGTCCTAGAACTTGGGAGTTGGTCAAAGGCAAAATGAAGTCATTCTGCGAAGGGAAATGCGTTTGAGAAATAGCTGCAATATGATTTTCGCTTGGCCTGATCCATTCGCAATTATGCAAGTTATTATGAAGCTATAAAAACATGAATGACAAGCAAATCACCTTGCAAAACATATTACGTACGTGCATACAGAGTACGGATTCCAAAGTTTATTGATTTTTCCTTTTCCTCTCTACTTCAGCTTAAGCCACGGACGCTCATCGTCTTCAGCGGTGTCCACTCCCCGAGCAAGAGAATTCAGCTGGAGCCACGGAGCGCTGACACCCATTTCCTTCAGCGGTGTTCACTCTGCAAGTAAGGTCCAATACCGCGTAATTCTATATAGTACATACTAGACTGTCGAAAAGCTGCGCCCCCTTCTTTGCGGTCTTTTCTAGAGATATCAATTTCTGAAGAGGTAGTGTTGAGAAGCTAAGAAGTTAAGACTACGTAAAGTACTCCGTATGTAATATGGCATACATATTATACAATACATACGGAGCATAGTCCCTTCATTAAGCCCGAGAGCGTATTTTTGTAGATCTGAGTTGTCCGAGCTGTCCTGTCCGATCGACCGCCACGCGCGCGGGACGCAGTTGGGCTAAAGATCGTCGTATACGTGCCCGTACGGATCCACCTGTAAAATAGTGGACCCAATTAAGTGGAACCCAGAAGTGTCGTGAAGAATATGCGGATGGTACGGAGTACCCAGCTACTCTATACAACATTGTACCTTCTCGCTAGAAGCGCTAGCAGCGTCGGCTGCCACACTTGAAATTTCCCCTTAGCACCCCCCTTTCTTCCATACAAAATAAAACAAGCATATAATTTTTCGTCTCGACGTCACCTTCTTGGATACCCCAACACCACGATACAAGTATGGCAACAAGAATTGGAAGTGAGAAGATCCTTCATCCAACTCCAGATCATCTCAACCAGAGTACTCAAAATGGTATCTTGGCCCACCAGGAACCTTCCATTCCTGCCTTCTCTCTGATATCTGGAACCGATGGCTCAAAGGAGATCCTGCCCACAATCGCCAAATTATGCGGCACCATCGCAGATGATGTCCAGGACGCTTACCCTTGTACAGTAGTGCAGGAGGCACTGGTAGCATTATCGGTCAAAACTCCACACATGTATGTGGCGCGGTACGTGTATCGTCTGAAGGACGGTATCACTTTTGAGCAGTTCCGCGCCGCGTGGGATACCACCGTCAGAGCTCATACAATCATGCGCACGAGAGTCGTGCAACTCGGTTCACGGGGTGTGATGCAGGTGGTAGTGCGCGAGGGCATTGAGTGCCAAAAGAGTAATAGTCTCCAAGAATATCTCGCAGAGGACTGCCAGAAGGAGATGCCATTGGGGGCACCGTTAGCGCGAGCAGGTTTCATTCAGGATCTGGATCCAGCGCGGCCTGCTCATTTTGTCATCACACTGCACCATGCCTTGTATGACGACTGGTCATTAGCCTTGATCCTGAAACACATCGAGGCAGCGTACGCTGAACAAAGAGTGCCGGATCAGCACTTTTCCCGGTTTACTGAATACTGCTTGATTGCGTCCAACGAACAGTCAGAGAAGTTCTGGCGTAATGAGTTCACACGCATGAGCCCAAGCCCCTTTCCAGCTGTGCCAGCTGAGTCCTACACGCCAGCAGCGACCAAGTCATTCATTCATGAAACAACCCTGGACCAAAATATGGATTTCGACACTTCGTCGACGACAGTCATGATGGCCTGGGCAATCCTCATTTCTCGTCACACCGCATCCGAAGAGGTTGTATTTGGCGTCACTGACACCGGTCGGCGCGCTACAATGCCAGGAGTTGATTTGATGAGTGGTCCAACAATCGCCACGTTCCCTCTCCAGGTTTTGGTGCAAGATGATCAATCAATTGTCGAGGCTTGGAGACAACTGCACCATCGTCGAGGAGAGATGGTCCAGCATGAGCAGTTTGGCCTCAACCAGATGCGCAAATTGTCCCCAGAAGCAGCGGCTCTGTGCAAATTTCAGAGTCTTATTGTCTTGCAGCCAAAGAGACGTGATGATTATTCGCTGTTTAGCGAGGTTACTCAAACCCAAGATCTCGAAAACCATGCCACGTTCGGAACATACCCCATTACATTGGTTGTCGAACCAGCAGGAAACGCAGTCAGCGTGCAGGCTGTATACGACCATCATATTATTCCCGAAGTCCAGATGAAAAGAATACTTCAACAACACTCGCATGTTATGAAGTGGATCAACTGTGCGGAGACTTCATGCGTGGCAGATATTGAGGGCTTATGCCCAGAGGATCGGATGGATTTGCAGACGTGGAATAGTCTCAGGACTCCCGAAAATGTTCAATCTTGCGTCCACGATTTGATCTCAGGAATGTCCCGATCTCAACCGCACGTCACAGCTATCTGTGCTTGGAATGGAGAGCTCTCCTACGAGAGACTAGAAACTCTTTCAAGTGGGTTCGCCATGCAACTGTTGGAGGAAGGGCTCATTACCCCAGACACGGTTGTTCCTCTCTATTTCGAGAAATCTAGATGGACCGCCGTGGCCATTCTGGGTGTCATCAAAGCAGGTGGTGCATTTGCCTTGTTGGATCCCGCCACTCCGTTGAAACGATTACAGATGATCTGTGCAGATACCAGAGCGCCGTTCGTGGTTTGTCCTCCAGAATTGGCGTCTAGTGCAAAGGACCTCACAGGGAGCGTCATCGTGATCGACACTGATGATAGCGACGGCAGTACACTTGCGGTGCGTGCTCTCAAGTATCGCCGGCCCGAGGTCAACCCGTCGAATGTTCTTTATGTCGTTTACACTTCTGGGTCTACGGGCAAGCCAAAGGGAGTGGTAATCGAACATGGAGCGTTCTGTTCAAGTGCGTTGGCCTACATCAAGGTCGTCGAAATGAATACGGAAACAAGGGCTTTGCAGTTCGCCTCGTATTCATTTGATGTGAGCGTGACAGATCATCTGGCAACGTTGCTCGCCGGTGGCACCATCTGTATTCCTTCCCCGGATGATCGGATGAACGACATCATCAGTGTCGTTAGCAAATTCAACATCAACTATGCAGACTTTACGCCATCTTTCCTTCATTCACTACGCCCTAAAGACATGCCAAGTCTGAGAACCATTGCTGTTGGTGGAGAGGCGCTATCCCGAGCAGTGATCGACATCTGGGGCAGCCACGTCCGGCTGATCAACATCTATGGACCAGCCGAGTGCTGTGTGCTTACCACCATTCAGTCCCAAGTTACCTTAGATTCAGACCCTTTGAATATTGGATTTGGTACGGGAGCTGTGTGCTGGATAGCCAATAGCGAAAACCACAATCGGCTAGTACCAATCGGTGCCATCGGCGAGCTTTTAGTTGGGGGACCGATCGTGGGGCGTGGATATCTGAATGATCCCCAAAGGACGGTAGCTGCCTTTGTTGACACTCCCGATTTTCTACATGAAATGCCGGCCTCATCTCCCCACAATCGAGTCTACAAGACTGGCGATCTGGTACAATATGCATCCGACGGGTCTATACGATTCCTGGGTCGGAAAGATATGCAAGTGAAGCTTCGGGGCCAGAGAATCGAGCTTGGAGAGATTGAGCATTGTCTGAATCAATGCTTAGAAGTTGCCGGTTTGGTGGTGGATGTGATCAAGCCCAGGAACAACAGTGCCTTGTTGGTCGCCTTCATTTTGCGAGGCCAAGCCGAGAAAACGGATCCAAAGAAGCTTCTTCGTGACCCCGAAAATGAGTTCCGGTCCAGCATTATCCAGGCAGAGGCACAGCTACGAATCCAACTTCCGGGTTACATGGTCCCCAATCTGTTTTTCCAGCTCGAGGCGATGCCCACCACTGCATCGGGAAAAATAGACCGAAAGCGATTGAGAGAGTATACATCCTCTCTTGCTCTTGAAGATCTACAGAGATATGCAGCCGCAAAACAGGATAAGAGATATCCTTCAACCGCGCAGGAGGAAGTCATCCATGGCTTGGTGGCCCGTCTTCTTGGCTTGAAACCCGAGGCAGTCGGTATGGATGATACGATGTTCAGCTTGGGAGGAGACTCAATCACGGCTATGCGGCTGGCTGGTTTAGCCCTAGAGGCCGACAAGAAGCTGACCGTTGCTGATATATTTGCACACCCAAAACTTTGCGATATGGCGTTGGCGATGGAAGACTCTAGCCTGGAATCTGGCCACAAACACTACGAGTCCTTCTCCCTCATCCAAACTCCCAACATCAAGTACAATGACTGTGATTTCATCAAATGCGAGGCGATGAATCAGTGCAATGTCACAACTGACTCCCTTGAAGACGTCTATCCCTGTACAGCTTTGCAGGAAGGTATGATGTTTCTTTCCATCGCCAACCCTGGTACTTACCAATGTCGTTATCTCTACACAATTCCGCCCGAGATGACTGAAGAGCAACTTCAGCAGGCTTGGAAACAGACCACGGAAGCAAACACCATCCTCCGTACCCGTATCTTCCAAGCCGGTACTCGTTTGTACCAGGCAGTCATCAAGGACGACCATGTGGTGTGGGACAAGCCCGGTAACCTCGAAGATTATATTGCCGCCGACATGAAGCGGCATGTGGACGTTGGCGAACAGCTCGTCCGAACGGCAATTGCCCCAGCTACATCAGATCGACTCCGAGTTTGGGTTTTGTCATTACATCACTCCCTGGGTGACGGATGGACTGTTCGACAACTTCTGGAGCAGACTGCGGCGGCATACAGAGGGCAAGCCTTGGGAGCTCGTCCTTTCTGCTCATTCGTTGAGTACGTCGTTGCAAAAGAAGGTAATCAAGCAAGGGCTTTTTGGGAGACGGAGCTCGAAAACCTCGATCCGCGCGCTGCAGCTTTCCCGCCAGTTTCTTCGGCCCAATACTCTCCTACGGCGGGGGTTCCGTTGACACACCCTGTCATGAATCTGCCAGACAAATGCACCGGCCATACTTTGACAACAGTTATTCGTCTAGCTGTCGCTACCGTAATTTCACGATTTACCGGGTCTTCTGATGTTGTGGTTGGTGTCACAACATCAGGACGTAGCGCTTCTCTCGGTGGGATTCTCTCCATCACCGGTCCAACCATATCCTCCTATCCCATGCGACTCCGACTTCATGCGTCGCAGAGGGTTGAAGTGGCATTAGCACAGATTCAAGCCACGTCCATCCGAGTACTTGACTTCGAGCATTTCGGTCTTCAGAATATCCGCAAAGTCAGCCAAGAAGCCGCTCGCGCCTGTCAGTTCCAGACCTACTTGAATATTTGGCCACTCGACGAATCCGAAGCTCCAGACCCGTTCGTCCAACTGGACGATGCTGCTGGTCGTATAGAGTTTGGTGGCTTTGCCCTTGCTATGAGTTGCATGCTAGAGTCCCAGAATAGCGGCTTTACCGTGGTGGCAAACTATGACCCCGAGGTCATCTCAGAAGATCGATTGACAGGATTCCTCTCCCTAGTCGAGCAAGTAGTTCGTCAGGTCTGGTCAGATGATTCCATTGCCCTCGGTCAAATCCAAGCAGAAGACTCGGAGACGGGGATTAAGAAGCCGCTACTCACGAATTCCCAGCCATCTGACGAGATGGCCTGGCAAAAGCCGACCTTTGAGCCAGCGAGACAAGCCGCTAAGCGGCTTCCATCGACTCGGGTCGAGATCCAGATTCACAAGCTCTGCGCCCAAGTCCTGAACCTCAATTTAGACCAAATTGGCATGGATGATAGCTTCTTCCAGCTTGGTGGGGACTCCATCGGTGCAATGAGACTGGTATCTTGTGCTCGAAAGGATGGTCTTTCCCTGACAGTTGCCCAGATTTTCAAAAACCCTGTGCTAAGGTTCTTGGCCCTCGCCATCCAACCGTACAAAGAGCCAACTCCAAGCGTTCCTCGCTTAGTTGACTCGAGCGACTCGAGCCATCATTTGAAGACCCAAGCCATTCTGCACGAACTGGATCTCGAGCATTCCCCCTTAAACCGCGACGATGTCGTAGATATTGCTCCAACAACTGAGGTCCAGGCAGACCTAGCAGGACGACCTCATGTATATTGGCTCCTGGGGATAAAGGGCACGCTGGATACTACACAGTTGAATGATGCTTGTGCCACGTGGACCCAGAAACACAGTATCCTCCGAACTGCCTTCCTCAGTCATCGGAAGCAGTTGGTCCAGATCGTTCTGCGAGAACACACTCCAATTATGATCCACAATGTCACCGAAAAGGATCCCATGGAAATTGCGATAGCCTGGTCTCGGGAAAACTCTTCAACAACTCCGGTTCTTGGCATTCCCTCTCTTTCGTTAGCACTAGTGCAGCAGAATCCATCAAATTCTGTATTGGTGGTGCGACTCTCCCACGCGCAATACGATGGCTTATGCATACAAAGGTTGCTGGAAGATCTTCTCGACCTATACCATGGCAAAGAGGTCTCGGCATCGGCAGACTTCACAAAGTATGTGCGCCACTGCCGTGAGCATGAGTCCGAGTCGTTTGATTTCTGGAAAAGCCTTCTTATGGGCGCTGAGATGACACCGCCCATGCTTCCTAAGGGACTCCTTAGCGCCGGTGAGCCATCCATTGTTGAATCTGTACAGCAGGTACCTCTCATAGCCTTGCCCCCTGGAATGACAATGGCAACTGTTGTCAAGGCAGCCTGGGCGATGGTGCAATTCCAGTTCTATCAGATCAACGACGTGGTGTTCGGTCAGCTCGTCGCCAGCCGGAACACGGGCATCGAGGAGTTGGACCAGGTTGTCGGGCCTTGTATCAACCGCATTCCCGTACGTGTCCAGAAGGTAGCGGAGGAGCCGCCCCTCCAATTCCTACAGCGGATCCAGCAGCAACATGCAGACTCATTGCAGTTTGATACTCCAGGTCTCAAGGCCATAGCCAAGGGCTGTACTGATGGCTGGTCCCCGGACACTATGTTTGGATCGTTCATTAATCACATACCCAAGGATTCCGCCGATGATGAGTTCAAATCTGGAGGCTTGACTTGCAGACTGGACGCCTGGACCAAAGGGGCACCACCTCCAAACATCCGGCTGACTTCGACCGAGGGAGAAATGTTGAAGATCAGGATCAACGCTTCTAGTGAAATCTCGACCAAAGCTCATTTGGATGACCTCAATGCTAGGGTTTGCAAAACAATTTTGGAATTGTTACAGGATGTGCATAACCCTTCTGTTGGCATCTAATCTTTTGATCATTGCTTCCCACCTTTTGCTCCTTGTGCTTCCCTTGATTTCCGTCCCATGTTGAATTATCTAGAGTTGAAACTTTGTTGCCATGTTGAGCAAACTACCTAGTTAGGTATCTTTTAACCTATTATATAAGAGCAATAGTAGCTAACGTATTTCACAAGCGAGTGGGCCACCCAACCCAAAACGCGTCCATGAATTAGCAGTTAGTAAATTCAACCACCCACTATGCCACCAATCCGCTCTCAAAGCTCTACCAATTTAGTAGAGCAAGAGGGTAGGATCTTATTAGCTATCCAGGCTTTTAAAAATAAAGAAATCACCACTATTCGTGAAGTGGCACGCCAATTTGAAGTCCCTCGCTCAACTTTACAACGCCGCCTCGCCGGTGATACCTTTCGTCCTGAAACACGCGCCAACAACCATAAATTGACAGAAATTGAGGAGGAATCTCTTGAAAAATGGATTCTCTCTATGGATCGACGCGGAGGGGCCCCCCGGCCTACTATGGTGCGAGAAATGGCGAATCTTCTTCTTGAAAAGCGCGGAACTACCCCGGTGATTTCGGTGGGCCAAAATTGGGTGACGAACTATGTTAAACGGCGTCCTCTGCTCTCCACTCGATTTTAGAAACGGTATAACTACGAGCGTGCGAAATGCGAAGACCCGAAATCATTAGGGAGTGGTTTAATCTTGTTCAAGAAACTATCCTTCAATTTGCCTTTTTCTCGTGGCTGCTCTAAGGGTGATATCTGGGTGAGCACTAGTTGGGTGCAGGTGATTGGTTAATAAACAAAGGGAATAACAGAAGAGGGAAACCAAATGCGCAAAAAGGAAGAGCACACTAAGGTGCATAAAAAATGAAACAACGCAAAAACAGAAAGGTAAAAACCAACCTGCTCACCTCTGAAAGGAAAGAGGGACGAGTGTGAGTCATATCATATGCGTTTGGGCCTTTTTTCAGAAAATCGTATCAAGTCGCGAAAGGCTTGTAGCAGCCAAAAGTGTGACAGTCAGCAGAAGCCTAGTCAGATCCATCAAGAAGCAACTCTATAATGATAATCCTGTGTATTTGCTGCTGCTTCTCATACTCATTGGACTATAAGGCAGAACCAGTCTTCCGTGATACATCTGGTAGGCCGGTTTCAAAAGTCCATTCGCAGTCATCGTCGTATCCCTGCGCGATTCTCTCAACATCGACGACAGCATCCCACGCCGCCAACGTCCTCCTGTATCTTTCCTCTCCTTCGTCGACATTGACAGCATCTAGGTCTTCTCGTCGCCTGGCATCGCACTCGCAGCGCAGAACAGACCTCAGCACATCTAACAGTTCCCTCCTCCACTCAGGCTGATGACCCCCAGAAAGCCGCGCCGCGACGTACTCAAAGTACGCGGGCATGATATTGGCCATCTCCCAGTCTAGGAAACCGGTAACCGCGAGCGTGCAGGGCTCCACGAGGATGTTCCGGTCAGACAAGTCCCCATGCGAGAGGACAGGACGGTCCCAATCACCTGCGCCGGTGGTGCCACGCTGTACTCGCTCAAGCGCGACTGCACATTCCGCGTCCGGGGCAGAGACCTGCAGCGCGCGGACGCGCGAGTCGTCCCACTCTGAGCGCGACGCGCAACATACGTACGTCTCTACGCCGAATTCGGAGAAGAGGAGGTACGGCTGCCGCGTGGGCCGGCCGTAGTAAGAGAAGTGGTGCGTACGCATACTCACGAGGAGACGGCAGAGCTCCGCCTTGACAGTCTGGCGCTGCGGACGGGTGAGTGAGGGCCAGAGCTCGACTAGCGGCGTGCCCGGCTGGAGAGTGAGGACGAGGCCCTGTTGGGCGCGGTTGGGCGTCGTGGCGTCGGAGGTTATTCTCGGAAGCGTGACGACGCAAATGACGCGTGGGACACAGGGGCCCAGGATGGAATGGGCGAGCGCAGTCATGTTGCCTTCGCCATCGTCAGCGCCCAGCTTGAGGATGGTAGAGGGAGAATGGGTGGAAAACCGACGTCCAACGGTTGGAACGGTCGGCCCTGAGAACGGAGGGAGGCTGGGGAGAAAGGCCCAGTGCTCCCGAGGAAGCTGCTCTGGCTCCTGAGAGCTCTCATCGTGTAGTGTCATGGTGAGCGGCAATGCATGGGGAGCAGTTCAGTGTATCGGGCGATATTGAGTGTCTACTTAGTTAAAGTAACCTGGTGCTAAAGTGCGGTGTCCGTCCTTTGAGGAAGATGATTGATTGATATCTATCTATGAAATAGATGCAGTTTGCCTATTTAGTAGTCCAACTATTTATTGTCAAGTCTTCAATGTCATTGATACAGAAACTGAATATTATATGCTATTACTCTATTGACTAGCTGCCCTACGTGCTTAACTACTCTTATTCATATAGTATTCTAACAAAGCAAGCCATATATAGAATAAAAATCGTGTTACTGTATTACTATAATGCACGTAATATTGTTTCAAAACACCACAACTACTATTCATATCTTGAGCGTAAGAACTAATAGCAACTCATTAAGGAAAGCTCGTCGGCTCAGTCGGGATCATCCTTGCCCTCGAGCGCATGATGTACACAATAAAAACAGGGTATGTCTGCGTCGCGTGTATAGAGCGATCTCGCTCGCCTCTTTCGTGAATCGCATCGAGCGCCGCGGGCTGAAGGAAGTCTTGCACTAGCTGAGTTACCTCAACACTGCCTATCTGTAGCTGTGCCGGGCTCGAGCTTAGGGAATCATTCCGTAGCTTACGGATTCGTGTCTCAACGTCGTCGAGGAAGCTGTCGGCAGTCTCGCCATCTCCAACGTGAAGTATGACCGCGCCGATCTGCTCGCGCGCCTGCTCTGTGGCTCCGCTGTGACGGAAGCTGGTGGTGGAAGCTGGGGTTGTGAGGCTGAAGCGTTCGATGGTGTCGTTCTCGGGTAGCAGACGAAGAACATGGATTGTGGCACCAAACTTGCCAATAATAAGGAGCGCAGAAGGAGTGGTGGAGGGGGTGAATGAGTTTTTAAGACGGGTAAGCATGATTATGTGAGTTGAAGATCGTTAAATGAAGAGATATTGATTTTTGATTTATTTGTAACTTGCCAAATGTCATGAAAGAAACCTACGGAGGAGGTGCCAAGCCATCAAGTTAAGGTTATGATAAACAGCTTTTGTAGGAAAATAACCTGTAGATGGTAGCGACAGACTGATACAGTATGTGGCGGTGAAATTTTTCCTCCATCAATCAATGATTTGGGAGTAAGTTCCATTTGGTATACAGTAGTATCTACGAAGTGACAGTAGCAATGGTTGTAGGTGCTCGATACCCCCCACGTGTTGATTGATTCAGCCTCGCCGGTAAGGCTGAGATGACTATCCACGAACAAACAATGCAGAGTCCGCTCTCATTTAATTTATCATTCTGCCATCAAGCATGAATACAGATGACGATGGCTAGTCGGCGAAAGTCGCATGTCTTCCGGGTGACAGGCCTGTCGAGGGGACTGCGCAATGGGGCACTCAACGACAACTTCACTGACGACGAGAGATCAACGTCCGGTGGAGATCGTCCCCCGAGCCTTTTCTCACGTGCGAAAGGTGCACAGTTTGTGTTGGTAGTTCAGACTCAAGCTAACATGTGACAAGTGCAGATTTGCAAACCGCCTCTAACCTCCATCCATCGGGGTCAATAACAAAGGCAGCAAAATAGGTTTGACCGTAATGTTCCCGCAATCCAGGCTTGCCGTTGCAAATCCGCCATTCGCTATAGCCGCAGCATAGAAGGCCACGACTACATTGCGGCTTGAAGCATTGAAAGCAATGTGGCATCCTCGCCCGGGTGCATGTGCTTCGTCACCATGCTCAAAGATGTTGACAATCTCGTTGTCTTCGTCTGGGCCATATCCTAGGGTACGGGGTTCGAATCTTGATGGCGACGCGTGCCCCTCATAGACAAGACCTAGACCGAGAGGAGCGAGTGTGGCAGAATAAAACTTTCTGGAGATCTCAAAATTGCGAACGCCAATAGAAATGTGGCCTAAAGGATGAATGTCTGGGGACATCTCGCGCTCAAGCTATTGAAAGCTCTGGATCGCAGGTGCGTGGGAAGGGAATCTGTCGACATGCCCTTACCGCCAGGTGCCCGAGGAATATAAACCTACTTGTCGCCACTACCAATCCGTTGCTATTGCCACAAAAAGTGCTATTTTTGTATCATATAACTAAGCAGTAACGTATTTCATAAGCTGGCTGGAAACCCCCCACCACCCACAAACCAAAAAATCGCGTCCATGAATTAGAACTTAATTCTTTAACCACCCACCTAGGCTCGTTGGCCAGGGAGTAGCTTTCAAAGAATATCAAACGTCATGGAAGCGCAAAAGTGCAATGGCAATTTTTGAACACGCAGCAGGCCACGGTTTTTTGAGCCAAAAGCATGGCGAAAAACTAGACAGAAAGCTACTGTGCTGTTTCAGTTCGCGGGTGAACATCTGAAACGGCGCACTTAGCAGGCAATGCGTGGGAATTCATCAGACCTTCAGGCCACGGCACGGGAGCGGCAACTGAACTAATGCCATGACCATGCCTAGCCACCCTTCAAGCTCAGGCTTGCCTTGCTTCAGCGTGATCCTACGTTACTGATCTTTCCTTACACTGCCACCCTTGACAAGAATTACTCAACATCATGCCTGAGATACCCCTTCTATTGCATACAATCGAGTTTCCAATGGCCAATCTATTGAATAGCACGAAGAGTTAACAGGAAGTTGTCGTTCACATTCCGTTGTGATAACTAATCAAATTAACCTATCAGACTATGTTTTACCCCTGATGCCGATATCGTCCGACGTCACTAATTTGCCCGTTCGTCGAGACAATTTTGCATAATGTAAACTACAGGCATTACAAAGGGTTCGGGAGCCGTGCGGACCACGGCGCCATTCTGGTGTTTCAGAACGGTTGCAGCTATGACAACGAAGAGCACTATCCTTCAGTTGAGTTAATCTATATGTACTATATATCGACAGAATAACAGGAATAACAATATTGCCGTGATTATATGGCGCAGAGAGCATCAACTGTGTAACAGATTAACATATTAACTGGTAGGGAAGACCAGTCGACTCCGTGGATCGATGAGGTGATAGACCCGGCTTTCGGACACCGCACCCTAGAATCCATATGTTGAATTGAGCTGTTGACTAGGGGAGAGAGAGGAGAAGATCAACCAGGTTGGGAGCAAAGCCTATCCGCTTAGTTAGGTAGTAAGGCTACCTCAACATGTCCCCTATGCGCTGGCACTGGCTCAATGCGAGTGGAATCTGAGGATTAATTCGAATCATATAATATTCTGCTTAGGTTGTTTTAACACATTCCACAGAGATAAGTCTACAAGTTCCTTGAAGTTTCAGGAAGCAGAAGCCAAACCCATCGACAGCCCACCTAGGAAGCTGGGCTTCCAAGACATCCCGACCTGTTCCGTTCCATTTTGCGCATTCTTGCTTCGGGGGTCGGGCTCTGGCGACTCTGGCGTTGTGGGTATCTTACGGATGCCGCAGTAAGATCCATGGATATCCCGACCCAGCATGGCATGTCGCTTTTGTCACACGAATTCTGGAGATGAATGGCCCGACGAAAATTGGATTTTACGATTATCGCTCACTTTCATTTTATTACTTCGCTGCTAACACCGATCAGGCGTGATATGTAAAAGCTTTTTCGAAGAATTGATTAATAAGATTCGCCTAGCGAAGATTCTGCATCACTATGCTCTTCGTAAAAGTAAACCTTTCTCCTAGGATATTAGATGCTGGAGACGACCAGTCTTGAATGAGAGCAGCTTTATCTGTGAGTTCCAAGAGAGATTGCAATAGAGTGATTGTGAAGAAAAGGGCTGCTGATAGTGGTAGAGAGGTAGCAGCCATTTGTTCCAAATTGAACATGAAAGGAAGACTGCTGTAGATCTCCTGTGACAGGAACGAAATAGCGGCATATGACTGGGCATGTTGTAATTTGAAAATATCACCTGGAAGCATTGCGGGGGACACGATGTCGCAATTGTCAATGATTATCCGATTGACTAGAATGCGGGCTAGGCGATAGTAGTTCCACATTTGAGCATACCAGACGTCCTGATAAATGTATTGTTGTCCCATGGGAAGCTTGTGATAGGTCCACGACGCAGGAAGTGAAGATGCCCAATTGTGGAGGGCTTGATCTTTTTTTATGGCCAGTACAACTAGCTGGTTGCGTGGGGAGAAGCTCTGGTTTGCCAGCGCACGAATATTCACCAAAGTGCTCATGATAGCAAAGAGTCTCATTGCTGATAACAAGGGATCCTCATCGGATTCTGACGTATCTGATGACGCACCAAAACGACCTGGTAATTCCAGTAAAAAGTACGGAACCTTTTTGCCACTGATAAGACACGCAAGTGTCTTGGAAGTATCAGTAGTTAGTAAATTTCTTGCTCTCTAATGGCATACCAACGTACTGTTGTGTAGCAGATCTCTATAATCTCCTTCACCGGTGAGACTGGCAGACCATTGGTGGAACAAAAATAGCCAAAGAATGCAGCAGCGCCGTGAACATGCTTTTGCCAGGCATTTGAAGAGGAGTGGTTATCGCATGTTATCATCTGCAACGTCAATCATCCGTCAGTCCGCTGGTTAACTTTGAATTAGCGCGATATCAGAGCACAGAACCTCGAAAATAAACAAAATGAAACTGCCAGCGATAAATTGTTCAATCCCAGAGCCTTTGTGGCTTATAATAGCTTTACTAAGGACCCTTATAGCAAAGTCGTATTTCCTGCGCGCCAGATCCATCATATCAGGGTCTTTGTGGACAACAGCGAGTGCAGCGAGGCCAACAGAGGTGAGGCTGATAGTCGCGGAAGATGGGTTCTCCGCACCGGAGTCCATCCAGTGCTTGCATCCGTCTCCCAAGATCGCAAAGTTGTCGGAAAATACTTTTTTTGCAAGTTCTTCGACATTGAAAGTGGGCCTTGTTACGACTGGGCTCCAACTCGTGGCATGCTTGTTAGGCGCGACCACCCTGGTACTTGAAGCATGCAACTTTCGAATTGTTGACTTGGTCTGATCTCGAAAAAGTAGGTCTGACTGAGACCTATAGCCAGTGCAGCCTAGACCAGCTCGAGCGCACTGGCTGCATCTTGGCCGGAGAAGATTACACTATCGAGAGGTTAGCGTGGCGAATAATGCTGACGAGAGTTTCGTAGACGTGAGAAGCCAACCTTGATTCTCCTCGACCTGCAGTTCCCACAAGCTGGGCTAGCTCTGGTAGATGCCATGGATGGTGGCAACGTGAGTTTCCGAAATACTCCAGTCAGAGATCGCTGCAATGGGAGCAACACTGCCGCTTGGGCACCAAAATGTTCTTTTTTTAGCAGCTGACAAAATGACCCACGGTGTATTTTCCAGTAGAGAGATAGTCAGATATATTGTGAGTCTTGAGTTGACCTGGGTGATCCAGGCGAGAGTGGAGTAAGACCTCCGTAAACGGCTCCTCATTGGTTATAATGACCACGCTAATCTACGATTGACTTACCGAAATGGGAATAGCGCAAGCATTACTATCTCCGAGACAGGCATATAAGAAGGCGCTATATCACGACTGACTTGTCTAAATGGGAATAGAGCTTATGGTGGTGCCAAACTATATGCTATTTCACGAATGAATTGCCTAATGTAGATACCGCTGATGATGATAGGCAGGACGATATATTCCCTGATCTTTCTGGGTATATAAGGGTGAAGGATTATCTTCTCTATTGCTGTCTCATTGAAAGATACATATATATTTCTCTTTCGATTTACTACAGTTCCTTACTTTACATTACTCTATATACGCTTCGCTTTAAAGCATCATTTCCATCTAATATGGAGCCTATCCAGAACGTCGCACTCTTGGGGGTTAGTTTACTAGCGACGAAATATTTACATTTATTATACTGATACGCGGTCAACAGAAAGGGTGGCTTGGATCCGCAATCTTGGAGAAGCTCGTCGATACTGGATTCCAAGTCACCGTGTTGAGTCGCACAGCTCGCGCTGTGGATGAACACCCCTCTAGCGTCAAGACTGTGCAGGTCGATTATTCGTCTATCGACAGTCTTGTAGCTGCTCTCCAGGGGCAGGATGCCGCCGTATCTACCGTCGGCATGTCCGGTATTAGTGCACAGAAGATGGTCATTGATGCCAGCATCCAGGCTAGCGTTAGACGCTTCATCCCTTCCGATTTTGGGGCGCTTACTACCAGACCTGGAGCAGAGTCACTTCCGCTGAACGCGTTATGGATAGACATCCAGAAGTACCTCAAAGAAAAGGCGCTCGGAGGACAGATTGAGTACACACTGTTTGCCGTTGGACCCTTCCTGGAATTTGTCATGTCGATGCCGTTTTTGACCGACCTGCAGACTCAGACTGCTCCACTATATGACAATGGTGTGCATACTTTCAGCTCAACTAGTGTGTCGAGCGTCGGAAAAGCCGTTGCTGGTGCTTTGAAGAATGCTGCAGAGACCAAAAACCGCTTGGTCAGCGTTCACGACATTGTCCTAACTCAAAGCAAAGTTTTGAAGCTGGCAAAGAAGTACTCGGGGCCTGATGTCAAATGGATTGAAAATCCAGTGGATGCAGCGGTCGAGCTTGAGACAATTCTCGAAAATACCAAGCAGAGTGGCCTGGACCTCTTCCAAACACTTGCGCTGCTGAAATCTGCGCTCTTAGGTGGCAAATTCGAAGTGGAGTTCAAGATTTTGGATAATGACCTTGTCGGAGTCCGCCTTCTTTCCGATGATGAGTTCGAGAAGATCTTTGCCACGGCTTTTAAGCCAGGCCAGATGATTGCACAAGAGGATCTTCAGGCAGACGTTGAAGGGATTCAAGGCGAGGCTTAGCATGAAGCTAAAATTATTTTTTAGACATTGTTACATAGTGTCTTTTATTTTCGTCTGTGTTTTTCCTGTGATCGAGTACTCTTGAAGAACAGAAGCAAATAAAAGAGAATTTGCTTTTTTCTTTTTTTATCTTTTTACTTTTTTCTTCACTTTCCCCTTAAGACAGCCAGCAAATGTTCCTGGTTTGTGTGGACTTAGCCATAGGTACACTTTGAGGGGAATAACTAGGAAAGGTAGGAAAGGCGAGAAGCCAGACTCAAACGTATTATCCGACATACCCGCTTGACCGAAGGTGGCAAAGTACTCCGCAACCCCATTGCACTTTTGATATTATTGAACGAGACTTAACGAGAAGCAGGCACAAGCTAATCATTTTGGTACTCACTGTCAAAACGATGGCCCCACAAAATATCGTGGCAACAAAGATAGCTGAGTTGGTGGATTATATGAACCGACTAGACCCTTGAATGGACAGAACATAAGATTTTGGACAAAAAGCCTAATTGTTGAACTACAAAACATAAAAATGCATATCTTGCAGAGAAGTTATTTGGGCTCTTGGGTGGTAGATAGCATGCAGAGGTCATATCATCAACATTTGAATAATCAGCTGGTTTGGTTGTAGATTTCTTTAGGTTAAAGGACTATGCCCAGGTGAAATGTCGCCACACGTGAAATATCAAATTGCCCGGCAGTTGCGGACCAAGGTGGACCATCTTGGAAGCCATGAAGAACTGATGTCAGGGTATCCATTCTTTCTTCTCTCGTGTTTGTTTCGGATGAGAAACGAAGTGTTCTATTTGCGAACCAAACTCGTTGAATGATTGGATTAATGCGAAGTTCAAGAATCGAAATTCTAGAAGCGCCAAGTTCCACTCGCAAGCCGATGACGAAGTGTCCAAGATGACGAAGTGTTCGAGACCGTATGTGGAAACCTCAGCCGCATGTTCTGATTGGCTGTTTGTGCTCGGAAGCCAACCTTGTTGACTGAACCCACATCTATAATTGTAGTTTATCCACACCCTTGGCACCTTTTGGTCCTCTTGCAAAGTTTCATCCTCATCCGGACGGCTCCACCAAACGCAATAAAAAGATGGACATCCGCAGATATGGCTCCCTTTCCTCTCTTTCTTCAAACACATTCATTGATCCTTCAAGTCACTCTCTTCTTGAAGTCATTCATTCAATCGAGGTTTATCCTCAATTACTGTCTCTTTAGTATCTCTGTAAACCAGCTGAACTACTTTGTCCTACCACTTTCACTCCCTCGATTTACAATCTTCCATCATGACTTTCACCGTCTTCCTTGCCGGTCTTCTCGCTGCCACCGCTGCTGCCCTCCCGCACTCCGCTCGATCCGGAGAATCCGGTGCCGTTGAGACCCGCGATTCCGGCAGCGGCGGTCTTCAGATCGTCAACAACATGGGCACCGACGTCTACTTGTGGACCACCTCGTCCGACGCTGGTAGCATGAAGACTCTCAGCACCGGAGGTGACTACAGCGAAGACTGGACCACCAACTCCAACGGTGGGGGTATCTCCATCAAGATCTCCACCAGTGAGTCCAAGGATAGTGTTCTTCAGTTCGAATACACTCAGGATGGCGATACTCTGTTCTGGGACATGTCCTCCATCGACCTCGACGAAACTTCCGACTTTGTCAAGTCTGGCTTCACTGTTGAGCCCAGTGACTCGAGCTGCAAGTCAGTTTCTTGTGCTGCTGGAGATGTGAACTGCAAGGATGCTTACCAGCTCCCGGATGACGTGAACACCTACTCTTGCTCTCTGAGCGCCGGTTTCACTCTGACTTTGGGATAAGTTATCCTTTTCCTTTTCTTCTTCAAACCGGCAGGACCGATGGAATTTTGTTTTTTTTTTTTTTTGTGTTTTCTTTACGGCTTGCAGAAC